TACCGACTACTAAAATAAAAACCAGGAAACTAGAATAACGATTCTTTCACGCGCTCATCCAACTTTCCACTTTAGAAAGTTTTAATACCTCTTATCATTGCGTTTTTAAACTCCAGGTATCACTTAATCACTTTAAAGCATCACTTTAAATTTTATAAATAACGTTATCGTATTGTGTTCAACACTTGATAACCACACGGCGCTAACACAAGCCAATTCTGTAACCGGCGCCAAATAAGCGCGGGAAAAAGTCGCATGGCGGTCAAAATATTTGCTTTGGCTCGCATCTGATTGGCCAGTATTATCATCATCTCATTGGCTGAATTTTTGCACCGAGGATTGCGTTTAGTAAATGATAAAAAAAATGACAAAATTTCCTTCGAATGTTGTTGAGAATAAAAAGTCAAATGGTTTCTCCGTTACCTGAGTTTCATTAACTTGTTTTTCAGCGTAGTTAGAGTAGTCTCGATCTAACACTGTCTGACCTTGTCAAGAACACAGGTGACAAAATAATAAAATTAGAAACTAGAAGATATTGTTCCCCCAGTGCACTATTAAATCCTTAGAAGAAACGTTAAAGAAATACATTGTTACCCTACTTGATATTTCGAGCGTAGAACTAATGAAAGTGTTAATTAATTATAAGATGAACTGAATGACTGAAAGACATTTGGTTCTAGACAATTGATTTTTAAAAAAAAAAACAACGCAGTTTTATACGATTCATAGATTGATCTGTCAATTGCATTCAACATTTAACCATTATCCCATTTTGTGTTTATTCCATACATCCCGCTGTTTTTTCTGTTAAAAGCTTGTGTGGCGAAATCTTCAAACAGTGAAAACTTCTCAACGAGTTTGCCCCGCTGCGGTGTTAAAACTTCTTCTTCAGTGACGTCAATGGGAGAAATTTTAGATCGCATTTGTCATTTTAAACAGCCATCGATCATCAAAGAATATTTAATATGCAAAGCCATAACTTTCAAAAAACAAAATTGAGAACATGTTGCCATTGGGTCATACCCTATTTTTATGATCCTTTGTCTAAATGTTGGGTATTATAAATCATTTTTTAACCATGCATAAAAGCAGCGAAGATGTAACAAACGGCTGGCCGACACGAAAACCTCTTCTCGTAGCTACAGGTTATGGCATTTTGTTTCTCCCGTTTTAAAAGGTAATTTTACTTGAGCTGAATGAAACAAAAGTCCATTGCATTAAGTCCTTTACCACTATTGTGGACGACTTCATCTTTGTTGGTGTATGTTTACATTTTATTGATTATACAGCCAACACAATCTTTTGTAGCGGCTCGTTGCCATTTCACATCAACATAGAGCGTTTTGCAAACAGCCCATGTTTAACACTCCAGTGCGAACTCAGTTTGCTAAATGATGGTTAGCGGCTCTAATACCGTGAAATCTCACTGGTCCGTGAAACATCTCACACACCTCTTTTGCGAAATCACTCTTAACGATGTTAACCTATTGTCACTTTTTACAAAAAGATACAACTGAGCGAAGCGACATGCAAATTAGATCTCGAGGGAATAAACATCAAAATGTCCTAAGCGCGCTATTCCAAGCTTCATGTGATAAATTCTAAAACAAATCATGAAGATCTTTGCCCGTTTGTTGTGTTTTCGAGACCCTCAAACACTGGCTATCATTGGTGTATCCATGTCAATGTAAAAACCCCGAAATTACCATGTCACGAGAGAGTCCCATTCGATGACAATGAAAGCATTTAAGCATTGAAAGTTCCAAGAGCGTACTTATTATCATGATCCTCCTTGAGTAGCTCGGTAAGATTTGAAATATAGTTTTTCGCTAGCCGTAGGATTTCAACTTGAGTCATCTTTCTCTCACTGACCCCTCCGGAAGAGTTCACATTGCTTGGAACGACCGAACGTAAAACTTGAAAAGCTGCATTCAGTCTAGCCTTCCTTCCTCGTTCCCTCTCGTTCCGCCTGATTTGTCGCGTTGTTCTAACACCAGTCGGTCGAGTTCTACCCTGTGTTTGCCAGCCGCTGGTATTTTTCGTCCATTTTTGCCCTCTTGTGTCATTCTCTGTGCTGTTGCTCAACAGTTCCGAGCTCGTCTCCTCCATATCCACATTGAACGATTTCGTGTTTGTAACCTTTGGTCCTGCCGGCTTGATAAAACCCTTTGAAGTCGTGGAGCCGAATTTTTTTGCTTGCGACTGCGTTTGAAAATGACCCCTTCTTGATTCCTGGGTGCTCATAGCCGAAAAAAACTCTCAAAGACCTACAAGAAGACAACATGACAGATACTTGTGATAAATAAACAAAAACACTTGGACGGGCTGCGAAGGAGATAGCTTAACGAAAATGCATTGACGGTCTCATGAACTTCTGACACGAAAGTGAATTTCAGCGAAAACACATAAAACAGTTTCTAGCGAGCGTTAAGTGGGCAAAAAGTTACTTGTCATAATAAACCTTCACCGCTTTACTACCTGTTAGCATTTTTGTTTTAAAGTTTAAAAATTTAACAACTTAACCGCCCTCTTACCTGTTGGTGGTTAAGCGAGGCGCAAATAATTGTGCGTTTGTGATGTTAGGGTGTTCTTGAGCTCGGGGGACTTGCTGGGTTGTGGTGTTTACTTGTAAATGCTGAGCTAGTTTTGTGCGATTAGCTGATCGCACGTGGTAAAGAATGGGATCATCGGTAAACAATGGTTGGCGTTAGGCACGCCTCAGGTAAAAAAAAAAAAAAAAAAA